ACTCTCAATTCTTGCATTTCTGAAGCAATACTGAACGCTATTCCTCTCACTTCCAGCCAAGCAACAGTGTGCAGAAGGTCCCTAACAATTTCTGATAATGTATTAATACTTCTTATATTTAGGATCATGTGATTTATCTGCTTAATTGATTTCAAACTTCCCTGCTCATACTGACTGAGATTGCTACCATCAATCCACAACTTGTGCAGAAGCTCAATGCCCTCAAAGTTCCCTTGCCTTATCACAGAGAACTGCGCGTTGCCCAGGTGCAGAGAGCTCAGGTTCCTCAGGCTAGAAAAGGGGGAGCTCTGCCCCAGGTCTCTGTAGGAATTGCCTTGAAGATAGAGGTGCTGGAGTGAAAAAAGATGCCCAAACCACACAGGGGACAAGTGAGCCAAGCTGTTATTGGATAAGTCCAAGAGCTCCAGTTTTGCCAGCGACTGAAACGAGTCTTCATCGATGGAGCTGATTTGGTTGGACTGCAGCAGCAGGGTTCTCAGGTTCACTGCCTGCTGCAGGTCCTGGGACTGGATGCGCTTTATCCTGTTGTGGGTCAGGTTTAACACTGTGATTTTGGCTGTGAGCCCAGGGGGAATGAATTCCAAGCCCATGGAGAAGCAGTTGCAAAGCTGACTGGCATCACATGAAGGACAAGCCTGCTTCAGTGCTTGCTGCTTGGAGAGGCTTGCAGCTAAGACCATGTAGATGGCCAACACTTGCCAGGTGTGTGCAGTCATTATATGGCCTAAAATAGGAAACACAGAGCAAATAGAAGATGTGTAGCTTGTTTTGGAGAAGGTACATTTTGGATAAATCTAAAATATAGGTTTTACTGTTCTGTCTTGTTGAAGGCACTGTTAAAATATTTGGTTTTAACACAGTTCAGATTTGAAACAGATTCATTTACTACTCTGATCATCCTCCTGTGTAGAAGGTAGCCTTCATACTTCAATCTCACCTCAGGTCTTTTTCTTCTGAATCTGTGAATATTATTTTGTAAATTCATTTTTTTACCACAGGGAGTTTTTTGTACATGTTTCAAATCCTGGTTACATCAAGAAGAGTCAGCATCTTACAGTATAGTAGCATTCAGATTTAATATTTACTTCAAGCATATGTCAATCTCTATTCTGACAATAGGGAGAAAAGAAATGCATTTGTTTCAGTCCATTTTTCATTTTATCTGCCTTATCCTACTCTGATTTTAAATGTCCTGTGAGCAGGGAAACAAACACTTGCCTGGATGACTCTCATGTTGCCATCAGTCTGATTCTTGCTAAAGAAATTTAAGTAAAACTGACCATTGTTGCCTACTGCCTCAGCTCTTTCTTTTTACTGCCGTATCCTTTTTCTCTGCCAATGCCTTTTTCTGTTTTGGGAACCTGTGGCAGAGAGAAGACCAGGCTGAGTCACAAGGAAGAGCCAGGGGTTCAGATCCAATCAGCTGACTGGACTAGATAGATTTTAGCAGCCCCACAGCCTGTTTCTGGTCTTCTGGACTGAAATGATTCAAGAGAAGGCACACAGATGTGGATCCTGTGTCACTCCACTTTCACAGTTTTCATAATGATGATTTGGTATGGCTTTTTTTTTTACAGAGCTTCCTGCAATAGTCAGCTTGTCTTTACTCCCAACAGGATGCGTTTAGTTCCTCTAGCCTTCTGAGGAGCTGGAAAAAAAATTTTTTAAAGCCTAAGAGAGGTCTTTTCCCTTTAAAATCTTTATTGCATATTGAAATGTAACCTTTCTTGACAAGGATCAAAGAGCATTTTAAAATGTAATTTTCCTCAGCGTGCCACAAAACCCACCTTCCTCAGTAGGTATCTTACTGAGGGCAGAAAGAGCAAGCAATCCCCAAAGAAGCCAATCAATGAGTTCACAAAATCATTGTGGGCTCTCTATCAGGTTAATCAGGTTAGACTGGCTCCTTCAGAACTACTTTCTGCCTCAGTCATCCTGCTGAGATTCTATGCAGAAGATTTACTCTGAATTAATATTCTAATTTGTTTTACAGTAGCTGACCCACATATACAAGTTAATACAGAGAAGTCCCATCCTTCCAGCTGCATTATTTTTAGTCCTAATTGCTTAAAATTATCCAGAAGAGGCAAAATTGACTGAGATGGTTTGAGCATATAGGGAGGGAAGGAAAAGTTGTGGATAACTTTTTCAGTCATTCCACCTCTTCCCACCTGCAGGACTATAAACATTTTGACCCCTTGTGTTACTTTCCTTTTATCTCTGTCTGGCTCTGATGCAGAGCTTTGGATTTTGAAGGACAAGGTTCTCTTCCCTGTCTTTAGATGCCTAAAGCTGAGCTGGTCATCCACCACGTCCTCCAAAGTCAATGGAGAGAAAGAACATCTTTTAGGAGCAATTAACATAGCGTGTCTTGGACACACAGATTAAGATGTGATGACTCCAAGAGAAATTATCCCATTTCCGTAAAATGGGGTATCACAGTTTAGATTCCTAGATATTTGTCCCCATGAATCCCAAACAAAAAAATCATGGTCTGTAGTTAGACTCATCTGCTGTCCAGATGAGGCATTTTGCAGGGCTTTTTGTCTCCCAAGAGTAACGGGATAATGCAGGGCTGTAGGCTAAAGGAGTAAATCCAGGAGTAGCGTGAGTTTCACTAGCAACAGATTTAGGTGGTATTTTTACAGTTGTCATCAAAATACTTTTAGAAAATGAAGCAACCAGGCAACCTGATCAGTCAAAAGCTGTCTATAGGCAGGTTATTTATAGGTGGCAAGCTGGCAGCACACAAGGGAACTGGGCAGGTACTGCACAGGAAACACCAGCAGAGCCTAATGGCTCTCCACCTTACTAGTCTGAAACCATCCAGGTACTGCAGGACTGAACTGCATTTGGTGATTCAGGATGCTGACTTTCCAGGTTTTTTGCTCATCTATAATCTGAACAGACCCTCAGAGGAATTCCGTTCCCACCCTCATTCACTTTTAGCCATTCTCTTCCCCTTCTGATTCCTGCCTAACGATTCTGCTTGAGACCCTGACTTACAAGGTCATTTCAGGCCCCTGCACACACACTCAGACATACAGCCCCACTCCATGATATCACTGCCCTATCAAGAAATCACTTCTCCCTGTTGTGCTGGGAATTAAAAAGCCACAGTAAGAAAATTAAACTGAAATGCAACTAAAAATACATAAACTTGCACAGATGCCCTTATACCATAAGGTACTGTGATGAACCAGGCATTCAAAATGTTTCTGAGTTATGGAAAAAGGGTCCAAGCCATCAGACATGCTCAAACTTATTTTCCCTGGCCCATATGAGAAGTATTTGAGGAAATATGTACGTATTCTTAAACAAAACCATGACTGACAACAGAATGAGGTTCTATAAACACTCACAAATGGGGAAGGTTAATGTAAGATCTAAAATAAAGCATGCCAATGGTGTGCAAATTGATTCTAGCTTGGGGAGCACTACACAGCTACATGTGGGCTGGTAAATTTGAGCAGTGCTATGGAGCCTGCAGAGGGAGAGCCACAGGGTGGTGAAGAGGCCAAACCACAAGCAGACTGGGGAAGGCTGCTGCTCTCCACCTGGCAGTGTGTGGGTTATGCACGTCCTAGTTCTCAGCCCCCAGCACTGCCCTAACAGCACGTCTGCACAGGCACACACCCCCACACACACGGCCATGTCTCTGCTTGTTTCCCACACAGAAGATGTGCAGCAGGTCAGAGTTAGGTGAGGAGGCAGCTGATGTCCCAAGGCCATTGTTCAGTGAGCTCTTTCCTGGTTGAATTCCTGAAAGCAAGGTACCCCACCTTGACTCCCAGCCTTCCCTGGGCAGTTGATCTACACCCAGGTGAGACAACATAGAAATAGGACAAGGCACCCTTCTCCACGGAAACTGTGCAGAAATGGCACAGTCTGACCCAATTTGTCTCTTTTTCATTTGCTGCTTTCCTCTCTCCCGTTTCCCAGAGGACATTGGTCTCATCAGCTTGTCACATCTCCAGCAGAACCTTGCTTTCCCTGCCAGATGCCTGGGATTGCACCTTCCTGCTTTAGTTTTGCTGGCAGCCAGAAATCCCTCCCCACCCCACACTCCTGCTCAGCAGCCCCGAGCACCCTGAATCCCCCTTGCAGAGGAGGACTGGTGGCAGAGATTAGGTTGCCTCTTCTCAGGGCTCCCTGTTTGCTTCTTGCTCTGGCATTGCAACACCATTGTCTTTCCCTGCATGTCCAGCCTTCACCTACCTGAAAACTCACCTGTGTGCCAAAAGGATTCCCAGAGATGTCACCTGCAGCTCCAGTCCCTGCACACCAGTTAACTTAAGTTGTGTTTCGTCTCTCCCTTGCTGATCATTCTTTGCCCAGCTTCCTCTCAGGCTGCTGTTCCGCTTCCACTTCACCTCTCAACCTTGACAATATAAGCAGGGGAATTCCCACCTGGGTGACCTGATTGGCATAAGAGCAGTTACACTATCAGTCCTTTTAACTGTGCCAACATACAAAAGTCTGGGTCTATGGTAAGAGTGTACTGTCTGAAAACTAAGGCTTCTCCCACATCTCTCTTTGACCCTCTCTTTGTAATGACTGGCAAGATTTATTTCCCTTCTTTACCTCTAGGCACACATTTCTCCTAATTTGTTTTATCAGCACAAAGTGTTTGTTCTTGGATCATTCACTCATTACCTACCTGGAGTTCAGCCTTGATTAAACCATGAGCTATACTTCCCCAAGAGAGTGAACAGAAAAATTGCTTCATAGCAGACTTCATAGCCCTGGAGATAACATTGTAACAGGAAAACAGAACTGAAAGTTGTGTTTGCAGGCTCCATCTACAGAAATTATCTCGTGTAGACACATGTACACATACACACATAGGAGTGTGAATAGATACACATTTATAAAAGCACATAGACACACATATATACATGAAGATGTATAAATATAGCAACAGAAAATATAGACAAATTTTGCTGTTTTTCAAATACTTAGTCAGCTCATACACCAAGGCTTTAGTATTTCATCACAAAATAATTGCATGGCTAAAATTTCATCAAGATCTAGACTTTCCTGTACTTAAACTCCAGCAAAACAACCAAAGGGGAACATGAAAATGTTGAGTTAGATAAACCACACCTAACTTAATCCCCTCAGAGACAATTTCAGGTTCCCATAAGAAACTCTAAAACACAAGAAATCCAAGCACTCAGTGTGGGACTGACTACCTTAACGTAAACATCTCTATCTACCTGCTTGTCTAGACTCCCTTTGTTATCAGTGGAGAGCAATATGGTAATTCTAGGAGATACCTCACACTGAAGTAGAGAGATGAACTGCCTCTTATCCCTGTGATTTTCTTCACCAGCTACAAAGGAAGGTAACTAGAGCTGCCAGACTTGCATGGCCCAGTGATTATATAAATATGCTCCACAACGTAGAAGAGCAAAACTTAAAACCGAGGCAGTCTGCAACACCATCTAGCCCACACATTAGAAACACAGTCTCACATCCAAAAATAGGCTTCAGCTATTTCTGCTGGTAGGTAGAAAGGAAAGTGGTGGTGATCATGAAGAGAAAAGAAAGTATTCCCAGGAAGAAATGGACACAGGGAAATATTAATTCAAGCCCATGGCTTTTAATTTCATTTGAAAATTACAATGGCAATGTTAGAGACCAGCTGGGGATAGCGGTAAAAGGAGTAAAATGTACAGAAATACTCCGCGCTCAGCAAAATGTACTTAGAAAAGTATATCAAGTCCAACACAGTTTCCAAATATCATAGTTATTGGCAGGGGCTTTCAAAGACCAAAGCATCAAACCACGGGAAAGCATGAAAAAGGCCTTGGTAAAATTACAATTATCTCTATATAAAAAAAAAGCCAGTTGCAGTTACAAAGAAAAATAAGAAAGAAAAGATTCATAGCAGTAAGAAATAGTGGTATACAGCCTTTTTGTGGAAATACGTTGAAATAGGGGCTGCTGATTTCTATGACTTCAAGGCACCTTTCAAGTTTTCCCAAAACACCTGCTGCTGCTCTTCACCAGCAGGCCACTCCAGGTAGGTCTTTGTGTTCATGATCTTCCGCAGCTTGCAGAACCTCTTGGGAATCGCTTTGCTCTGGATGGGCTCCAGGAGGATGAGAATGGCTGCATCGTTGTTCTCATCAAAGAGGCGGAAATGCGAGAAGTCCAGCTCGTACTTGCACCACTCGCTCTGCACAAAGTGCTCGGACAGCACAAAGAGCGTTTTGCGGCTCTTCTCAATGGAGTCGATGATGTTGTCCACAATCCACTTCCCCGGCACAAAGTCCCGCTTGTGCAGGCAGAGCCGGAAGGGAGGGCAGGCCTGCTCCAGCTCCCGCACCATGGTGTTCTCCACCCAGTCGGAGTCGTTCTCGCTGTAGGAGACAAAAGCGTCGTAGCAGACGTCCTTCGGCGGGGCGCGCTTGGGCTTCCGCTTGGCTTGCAGCCACGCCCACGTCATCCGCAGGTACCACACCATGTGGTACTTGTAGCCGACGGCCACCAGCAGCAGGATGAGCAGGAACACCAGGACGCAGATCAGTGACACCACCAGGGACCCGTGGCACTCCATCAGGGAGAGGTGCACAGAGCCAACCTGCGCCCCTCTCACCGCCAGCGGAGAGTCACACACGTACTTGTCCGGCCACCCCACCAGCACCTGGGCTAGCCCGGCCTCGTGGTGGACGAAGGACAGGAACTCACAGGAGCAGATGAAGTTGTTGTCACTGGCATCCAGCAGCTCCATTCTCCTGAAGGACTCAAACTCCTCCTTGGAGAAACTGTTCAGCTTGTTTCTTCTGACAGACAAGGACACCAAGTTTGGAATGGGTGCGGCTCCCGGCAGGGTCTTCAGCTGGTTCCTTGTGAGGTACAGCTCTTTCAGAAATGGCAGCTGCAGCCCAAACTCCTTCAGGTTGTTTCCACTGACATCCAAAACTTCTAGCGTTCGAGGAATGCAGGCCGTTAATTTAGGAATTTGAGTGCTAGACAGATTTAAATATTTCAGGAGTTTTGGCCATTCACATGCATCTGGAATCTCCCCAAAATTATTTTGGCTAATGTCAAGATTATTTAATTTGGGCAGACGAGATGTATACTCTGCAGTCAGTTCCAGAGATTTTAGAGAGTTCTGACTTAGATTTAAAGTTTGCAATGAAGGCCAGGAACGTTCACAGATTGTCTCATTTAAACGCTTATTTACAAGCAAATTATCATGAAAGTCCAGATACAGAAGTGATGAAAAATGTCTTGCAAGTTTGCATGGTACCATGAAAACATTAGAGCTTGCGATAGTGAGTCTTTTTAGTTTGTTTATTTGTGACTCCATACCTTCCAGGTCAAAAAACAAATGAAAATTCTGAATCATTACCCTTATTATTGTTACTGTTTCAACAAAACTTTGCCCACTCCTTGCAATTTCTTTAGTGTTCCATCTTCCCTTCCCCTCAAGCACACAATTGATTGCCTCTAACTCTTTTAAAGACGTGATTTCCTTCAGTGACACTATTGTTCTGCTAATGGTTTGATCTGTGACGAAAGCTTCTTTAAAGGTAAGTTTTTGCATCCTAAAAGGATGTGTAGAATTCTGCACCAAACTTTTTTTTTCAACCGGTAATTTGATTTCTGTCACTTCCAGCCAAGTGACAGAGTTCACAAGATCCCTAACAATTTCTGAGAATATATTACTATTTCTTAGGTTTATGATCATGTGATTTATCTGCTTAATTGATTTCAAACTTCCCTGCTCATACTGACTGAGATTGCTACCGTCAATCCACAACTTGTGCAGAAGCTCAATGCCCTCAAAGTTCCCTTGCCTTATCACAGAGAACTGCGCGTTGCCCAGGTGCAGAGAGCTCAGGTTCCTCAGGCTAGAAAAGGGGGAGCTCTGCCCCAGGTCTCTGTAGGAATTGCCTTGAAGATAGAGGTGCTGGAGTGAAAAAAGATGCCCAAACCACACAGGGGACAAGTGAGTCAAGCTGTTATTGGATAAGTCCAAGAGCTCCAGTTTTGCCAGCGACTGAAACGAGTCTTCATCGATGGAGCTGATTTGGTTGGACTGCAGCAGCAGGGTTCTCAGGTTCACTGCCTGCTGCAGGTCCTGGGACTGGATGCGCTTTATCCTGTTGTGGGTCAGGTTTAACACTGTGATTTTGGCTGTGAGCCCAGGGGGAATGAATTCCAAGCCCATGGAGAAGCAGTTGCAAAGCTGACTGGCATCACATGAAGGACAAGCCTGCTTCAGTGCTTGCTGCTTGGAGAGGCTTGCAGCTAAGACCATGCAGATGGCCAAGACTTGCCAAGTGTTTGTAGTTCTTGATTTGTGTTTTGCTTGGATGGACATTTTACTGTAGGAAACAGAAAAAAGAGAAAGTAGGGTCAAATTTTAATTTCGAACAGCCCTGAAAACTCTTGAAATCCTGCACCTTTTTTTTAGTAATCTCAGATTAATTTTTTTTTTTAATGTTATTGTGTGATGTGAGTCTTCCTCTCCTACTTGACCTTCTCAGCCCTGCAACCACAGTGTGTTGCTCATCCCTGGAGTACAGCCATATCACTTGTCAAGAGCCATATCTTAGTATACCAATCTTAGTATACTGCTTTTCTATAGGCATATCTGAGAGCTATGGCTCTCACCTCTTTCATCTCTCACATTATGCTCCCTTTCAGCAAAGAAGCTGCAGCTGGAAGTTTCAGCTCCAAATAGGGGAAGATGGTTAGATCATCAATTATCTGAATGAGGGGATGATCAATAATCTGAATGAGTGCACACTCAGTTTGCAGACAACACCAAGTTGGGTGGGAGTGTAGATCCATTGTAGGGTAATCCCTGTAGAGGGATCTGGATTGGATGGATCCATGCCATGAGGCCAATTATATGAGACTCAACAGAATGAAGTGCCATGTGCTGCACTTGGGTCACAACAACCCCACGCTAAATGCTGGGGTCAGAGTGGCTGGGAAGCTGCCCAGCAGAAAAGGATCTGGAGGCACTGGTCAACAGGCAGCTGAATATGATCCAGTATATGTCCAGGTGGCCAAGAAGGCCAATGGCATCCTGGCCTGTATCAGGAACAGTGTGACTAACAGGACCAGGGCAGTGACTGTCCCCATGTACTTGGCACTGGTGAAGTCACACCTCAAATCCTGTGTTCAGTTTTGGGCCTCTCACTTCAAGAAGGACATTGAGGTACTGTGCAGAGCAGAGCAACTGAGCTGGGGAAGAATCTAGACTGTAAGTCTTAAGAGAACCAGCTGTGGGAGCTATAGTTGTTTAGCCTGGAGAAAAAGGAGGCTCAGAGAGGGCTTTATCACTCTCTACAACTGCCTGAAATGAGTCTGTAGTCAGTGGGGGTCAGTGTAGTGAGTGGGGGTTAGTCTCTCCTCCCAGGTAACAAGCAATAGGAAAAGAAGAAACAGCTTCAAGTAGCACCAAGGGAAGTTTAGACTGGATATTAGGAAAAAAAAAAAATCACAGAAAGGGTGGTCAAGCACTGGCACAGACTGCCCAGGGAAGTGGTGGAGTCACTGTCCCTGGAGGTATCTAAGAGACATGCAGACATGGTGCTTAGAGACATAGTTTAATGGTAGGCTTGGCAGTATTTTATTAATGGTTTGACTCTTAAGGGTCTTAAGGATCATTTTAAACCAAAGTGATTTTGTCATTCCATGATTGCAAATGCTTGCTTCTGTATGGCTACATGGCAGGCAGAAGCCCAAACAGAGCCTGTTCTCCCTCTCAGCCCTTCCAGTGGGCTGAGGTTTCCAACACCACAAACTTTCCCGGAAGAGATCTGGGGAAAGATCTGGAAGATTTAGACTCCCCTGCATGGAGTCTAACCAGCCTTAGGACTTCTAAAAGCAGAGCTCTTGCCACACCCTTTTGCACACTGTGTAAGCAAGTCACATTCTTTACTGGAAAGGCAGAACAACCTGATATGAAATGAAGCCTATCAGACTTTTCTGTAAAACACCAGTAATAGATGGGATATGGATGTTACTATCACCCTATAAACAAATAAACAATGGATGTAATTAGAACAATACTGATTTTAAAGTAAAGAAGGGCTGTGTTTCCTGCCAGAAGTGCCAAAGAACACTTCACCAAGTCTGAACCGCAAACAGTTCCAGTAGTGCAGATGAACACTACCCATAAACCCTGAATAAGCAGAGGTTAAGTACTTACCTTGTCTACTGCATGCTGTGTTTCAGTCTCCTCGTGTGCTGGTCAAGGCATCTGAATGCCTCATACCTGCAAACACAACAAAAGCTGGAAACTTTTGGCAGGTCTGATGAGGTGACAGTCCAAAGTGAGAAAATACTTCAGCCTCAAAATATAGTTCTCTTCAAACAAAACTTCATGCTCCCAGTTTCCCAGTGTCCTTTAACTACGCAGCCAGTGAATCATACCAGTTTGCATCTCTTCTCTCTAGTGGTGGTTCCCCTGAGGAATCCATGGCTTCTGAAGAGTCCAGGATGTCCAGCACATATGGCTCACCCTTCAAACTCACATTTTAATCAATTCTACCATTGCTGCTGACTGGGGACACAAAAAATGAGAACAGATTGTAGTTGAATGCTCTTCTTTGAAAGATAAAATTTAGTGAGAGTCTCTTCTTTTTGTCAGTCAATTCCCATTGGCTGATGCAACCATTTTGCGCAAGTCATTCTTTCACAATCACTTCCTCCACTATTAAGTGCAGAAATAGTTCCCAGGCAGAACTGCATTAACCTCCCTGTATCTCTACTTTCAACACTTTTTGCCTGGTAGGCACTGGGGGTTGTTCACTGTGCTGAGAAACAACATCTCAGTACAACCAACTTATGTGAGTTCTGTAAAATATTATCAATATATAGATTGATGCATGTATTAAATGTTGAAGTCAAATTGTTCAGTCAAGGAGAGTACTATAGAAATACTCAGCATCCTTTAATTTCCAAGGGCATTACAGTCATCTGTTGTCAACAGAAAATTAATAAGAACAGGAACGATATTCTCTCTGAAGGACAAGACACAGTCTGAAGCGAAGTATCTTTCTGTAAACATCAAAGGCAATTTTGAGAGAGGAGGTTTGATGGCATTCATTTTAACCTGACTGAAGTAATACATGGTTGGTCAAATAGCCAAGTATGCCCTTTGCATAAAGGGGCAGGGAGTCATCCTACCAGCTCTGAAAGGCAAGTCCATTAAATTCAAACACTAACATTCCTATTGCAGTTACCATTTCTTTCTTGTGTTCAGAAATTGTCACATTTTGCTGTCCTCTTGCATCAAGAAGTACCTGCCTGAGAGCAGACAGATGGACTGATTCCTGCCACTTGTCAGAGGGCCCACAGCAGCATCTGTGTGATCAAGGGTGGCAAAGCATACAGAGAGCCCAAATGCACCTCATAGCAACCTTCAGTCCCACTGCACTGACATTGGCATTGCACATTAGTTTAAGAGAAAAAGAAATTGGAAGGCTGAGATACCCTTGTGTTTTCTGTCTACTACAGAGGACAGCTGATAAGCATAACACTGTAAAATAGAGGCAAAGCAGCTGTGGGGAAGAGAGGAGAAGGGAAATAGTCTTTTAGTGAAAGATGTCATCAACTTCCCCAAAGCCACCTCTTCCTTCTAGAAGCTGGAATGGTTCTTGCTCTTCAATAGGGAAGACTTCTGTTTTCAAAATATTAACTCTGGGTTCAATGAGACTTGTTACTGTATTTTTTTGTCTTCAGAATTGCACCTCTCTGATACAGTAAAAAATTTTAGTTAATTTGAGAAGAGTTTTGGAGAAAAAGACCATGTACATAATTCAGTGTGAAATGGGCATACTCTTCTATCTGTTACAGCTTCATCACCACACATTTGTGGAGAATTGAGGTACACACCAACTGTTTTTTCAGAAGCCACTTTCTCCTAACATCCAGGCTCAGCCACAGATGGATCTCCTATGGGCCAGGTTAAAGAGAGGACTGGTGTGACTATGCCACAGTTCACATACCAAGCAGTCCATTTCAGCAAGCTGCTTAAAATGCCAAGAAATGTGGGCAATTGTCAGGGTTTATCACTTTATCCTGACTCAGGAAGGTTTGAGGATGTGCAAAAATGCTCTCCACAAGCTGCCCCACACACAAAGTACCAGCCACCTGCCTCCCAGAGCATTAGCTTTCAAACTGAGGTGCAGCATGGCTCAAAACAAATTCTTTTGAAATCAAAGACTCTAAAGTAGGAGAAAGCTGTTCTCTTTTAAGATGAGAATACTCTTCAACTGCTTTTCCTCCAGAGTAATGCATGTTTAGCACTGAACAAAGATGCACCTTGTAGGTGCTTTCTCTCCTCTTCCAAGTTTAAGCTAGGATTAACCTTCCTCTTTAATACTGTTTAAAACAAATTGCATGCCTCCACCTACACTACGTTTTCCTAAGAGAAGCACATGGCTCTGCAACAAAGCTGTGCTTTTGCAACTGCAGATGTTCCAAGCAGAGACATCGCACAAGCCTTTACCAGAAGTAGATGGGAGTAAGACAGAGATGTGGTAATTATTTTTGAAGCTGTATAGCTTTAAATGTTCCCTTTTATCCAACAGCAGCACCAGCAGTACTCAAACTGGGCATGATGCACTCTTTAAGCACTTCCTGTTCCCAGTCTCACACGGAAGGATCCTGCATTCCCCTGCCCCCTTCCTCTCTTTCCTTCTCTATGTCAGTGTCCACACTGAGAGCTGCCTGTTGCTTTTCTGCTGAGAAAGGACAAGTGAGCAGTGCAGAAGGGACCTAACCCAGGTCCTAGATCCCTGGCTCAAAGAAAAAGCAGAAGCAGTAGAAAAGAGAGGGAGGAATGGAACTATTGACCAGCCTGTGATGCAAGCAGAAAGCACACTTTCCAAATCTTTGTAAACAGCACAAAACTGCTTCCTCATACTTACCACTGGTAACCAGGATGTGCCAGTATGTCAGCTTGGCTGCAGCAGTGTCAGGCAGGCTGAACCTGGGATGCTCTTACCCTAAATACCCCCAGAAAAGGATGACAAGGAAAAGCCAAAAGTCAAATCTGTCCTTGCAGTCTTTGGAGCAGGAGGTGTAATATTCACGTAATTGAAAGCAGAATGGCTTGGCATCCTTTCATGGTCCTGGGAATAGATTCTTTGCGTGCACTGCTGCTGCCTGTGCTTTAATCTGTCTTGCAGAGCTTCAGGTATTCATCTTCAAGCTACAACAAAAAGGTACATGATAACGAAAAGTAAACCATTTTAACTTTGCTGTGTTCCTCTCAGATCTACCCTGCTAGCTGCTCAATCCCCTGGTTAGATCTTCAGACTGGAAGTTTAAATGCAAAGGACCCAATTACCTTTTTTTTTCTTCTGGGCAATCCTTATCCTGCAGTCGTGGCAGAGCATGATAGTGATATAACTGGTTAGTCATTCAGCAGCCAGCCTACAGCACTGCCTCTGCCAAGGAAGCAGAGTTGTGGATTTATTTTTGTCATATCCTTCCTGAAAGCTTTCAGTCAGAAAAACACAACACTGATTTTCTACCTTAACTGAGGAGCATCTTGCAGGAAAGTTTGCATGCTAAGACACCAAAGCTTATCTTAATGATATGGAAAGTTTCATTTTTCTAGAGTAGTTGTAACAGCATGACTCAACAAGAGAAAACATGTAATTTCTGCCAAAACATTTCTGGTGAGTTCTTGACTCCCAAAGTTCTTGACTCCCAAGGAAACAGCCTACACGCAAGGCAAAGCTGGACAACATAGTTCCTTTCTTACCTTGCCCTTTAGGTACAGTGAAAAAACTTGTTTCTTTCAGGAATACTAGGATATACAGTATCCTAGTATACATCTTTTCCAGTAATACACACTGGAAAAAAAGGCAAGTTCTGACATCCTATTCTGAAGATCACTGTGACACACACAAAATCCTGTTATCACCACACAGATTTGTTACTCTAAGATGAGAGCTCTGAGACAACTCACATGGTACTTGGAACTCAGAGTTCATCCCAAATGTACTTGGGCAGGTAGGCTCCCAGCTTGCTGCTGCTGGGGATCCATCCCCTAAAAACAGACATAATCTGGAAATAATATTTTCTGCAATTTTCATCATGTCAATTGGTACAACATTATCAATGTACAAAACTGTTTCTTAAGTTTTTTTAGAGGTCTTCAGGAAATACTTCCGTGCAGCTTTCTCAAGTACCACTCACACAGTGTTTTGAACTGACTTTTTTCTTTGCTCTACATCTATCTCGCTCTTTTGTGTTGTTCAGTTTGCTTTGCTGTATTCTAGGCTGTTTGACCTAGCGGTCATCTAATATGGGCTGCCCAGAATGGTATTTGGACACCTAAGCCATATTTCTAGTTTTTAAAAGAGGTGCCATTCCTGTTTCCAAACAAAGATTTTGCAGGATTTTGGACAGAGCCACAAACATTTATGGCTATGAGCTGCCAGCACAGGCTGCAATACTAGGGGGGCAGGGTTGGGAAGAGAGAGGAATGGGATCTCTTACGCTCACTGTTTGGACAGCTTCTGCTTCATTTCATCTCACCAGGAGAGAAAATACCCTGTCACAGCCCACCGGGTGCAAGTCTTCACTGGCAGGCTGTTGTGAGGAAGTTAGGGTTTAACATCCTGGCACCGGAATTTCCCATAAGGAGGAAAAAAGCTTTGCTCAGCTCCAACTGAAAGCTCCTTCGAGAGAGGCTGGGCAAAGGGACATTCATGTTGGTGCATTCCAGTGTGGGAAGGTCCAGCAAACCTAGTCTTGCTTCATTCAGAGGAATGCACGGACATATTTTGTGCTTATGCCTAACTAATGCTAATAGGCAGAAAAAAGCCTTTTCTTTTTCCTGTTTTATTTTGGGATTTTTGTTTCTTGGAGTTTTTTTTAATGGAAGGGAAACATTTCTGGGAATGGGACCAAGTCATTGCAGAACCAGTTAGAGTTTGTTTCCTGTATGGAGGTGGAAAGCACTTTGCTGGGATGCAGAGATACATATTTAACTGCTTGTTATACAATAGAAAAAAAATTTGTGTTTAACAGTTGGGCAAGAATCTGAGCAGGAAATGAAGCAGATCATTATCATGTACCATAAAAATATCAAGATTTTTGTATTTGTTCCAAAAAAGATAATGCCAGGATGTATTCTGCACAGGTAGTTCAGGCTTTGCATTCAGCTGCTGACTCCCACTGTATGTGATGCCATGAACTATTATACACATGACAATGGATTTCAGAAAGAGAAAACTAGGCAATTCCAAATCTTTTTTTCTCAGCTTTTCAAGACATTCAGAAGTTCTTTCTTCAGTGTATCTACTTTTCTGGATTTATAGCCCATCAGTACGCCACATTTCTTAAAAATACGAAAATATCTAAGGTACTACTTCCTAGGGTTTTTCACTCACTGGAAAAACAACATGTTTTGTGAGTCTCTTGCAGGGATTGTTTCTATTGCTTCTTTTGCAATTGTATAATTTTTAAACTTTTTAGAAGTTTGACTTCAACCGAGTTGTAAACACGCATGAAAGCATAATTTTTACTGAAAATGAAAAGCCTGATCATAAAAAGATGTCAGCAAGTATTTTAAATGTGTGTGTGGTTTCTGATAGGGCCACCAAACCATCTTCAAATAATAAGTTATTTCCAATATTGGACCATTCTCTGGCTTTCTGAATTTGAACATGATTGAAAGCAGACAGTCCAAGCTGATTTTCAAGCACACCCTTAGCTATTTTAATCATTCCTCCTAAATTATCCTCAGATTGCATTTCTTGCTCTCCTGTAAGTTTTCTTGACTGTAACAGTACCAGCTTAGTAATGACAGATTCAGAAAAGACCATGTAACTTGTGCCTGTGCTGCCAGATGCCTTTTTGTCTTTATTACAGTATCTACAGAAAGAAACACACACCATACCAGACGATCAACCTCAAATCCAAGGCGTTTTCTACTGCTGTGAAATACCTATATTTACAAACTTCGAGCTGAATGTCTCTCTAACATCCCAAGTAAGTTACAGGGATGTGCCAGGAAGTAAGTGGCAGTGCTGTGGCAATGCGAGTGAGGGTTGTAGCAATGCCAAAAAGACTTGTGTATATTTCAATAAGTATGGAGAGCATAGTAACTCATGCTTTCAAGTAATTTGCTCTGCATTTCACAGCTTTTGGACAGAAGAGCTGTCAAAGGAAGAGGAATCAGAGAAAATATAGGCAAAAAACCAGCAAACAACAACCAAATTCCATCTCCATAGCTGAAACTACATAGCTCTGAAGCTAGATCTCCATAGCTACAAACTACAGGACCAGGATAAGCTGAGAGATAGCCACAAGGTAACAGAATTTGTCTACCTTACATCTACTTTACCATGGGAAAAAACCTCAAATTAGATGCGCTCTCCTACCTTGTATCAATTCTGATTCTAGTCCTTCAACGCTTAACTCACCATGAAGTTTGCACCTGTGGGCACAAGAACATCTTTGTTTCTTTGGGTCTTATTATCCAATGTCTGCCCAACAGACTGGCCACCTGGTTTGTTTTCAGCTTATAACTTACACTAGTGTCAGCATAAATATTCTTTTCTATTTATAGAAATTATGTTACAATTACACTTCTTTCATGTGCTATTTTTATGACATCATTTAAAATTAATTTCCTGAATGTTCCATGATTAATAGTGTCAACAAATTTCTCCAAAATCTGTTCTTTGGAGTACTTTATTTCTCTGGGGTTCATTCCTTGAACTCTTTGTTCCCAGCTCACATCTGGGACTGAAAGGCCAGGCAGAACATACTGAGATGTACAACCCTCTGTTGAGAGGCATCTTTCTTGGTGATCTCTCTGGTGCCTCCATGTTTGCCTCTGACAGTGTCCTGTCTGATATTTGCAAGGCCTTCCAGCTGAACAGAATTTTTCAAAAGTCACTAACAAAAATTCAACAAGTAATGGGAGAAGGGATGGATAAAGTAAAGGCTGGCTGGACTCTTCTCCCCTACTGTTCAGTGGTCTAAATTTTTCTGTAAAAATAGTATTTCTCATACTTCTCATGATAAAGCACAGCCTGTGAATGAGTTTGGCTTGTTCCCTGTTTCTGCAGGTGGAGAAATCCTGCCTCCAGGCTGGGCAGCCCTTTCCTTTTCAGGGGGAGCTCAGCAAGGAGCTGGCAAGCTGGTTTGCTGGACAAGAAATCTGTGAGCTCATTACTTCTCGCTGAGTAACAAGACAACATTGATACCAGAAACTCAGTCAGGGTGAGTCAGGTCTGCAACGGGATTAAGGGAGAAGGGAATGTTTCCATCCGTTCTGGCTCCTCATGTTGAAACAGTCAAATCTGTGAAGGACCTGCTTTGTGCTCCCCTCTGCTTTTTACTCTTTGCAGGAAGGCTCCAAATATATGCCCCATCCCCCCAGGAATGCTACCAATCATAAAATAATCCCTCTCCAATTGCTCTCCCTAAATCTGCTGGCACAATGACGACTGCACACTCCGCCAGAGTTAACAAGCAGGCACATTAATCCCCCCTCTTGCTAGAGAGTCTTTCCAGACCTGCCTCAGCTTTCTGTCAGTGGCTGTGCATGGAGGCAGGCTTGTTCCAGGATGATTCCTTGCAGGCATACTTGCAGGAGAATGCCAAGTGTGCACCTAATCTGAAATGACTGAAGCCCTTGGAGGCATGGCACCAGCTGTGCCGTGCGGCTGGCTCTTCCATTTGCAATTTTTCATTCCTGTGGTTTACTTTGGCTGCTTGTCTTTGGTAAACATTTTACAACACTGAAACCAGGAAATACCCAAAATAAACAAAGAAATGGACAACGATTAATAGACCTTGCTTTGTCTTTCCAAGGATCTGCCTTACTCAGGCCAAATTCTTGCCATCCAAACAGGAGTAAAACCTTCCTGGGAACCTATCAGGAGTGAAGGATACCTCTAGCAGGAAAGAAGGAAGGAAGGAAGGGATGGGGAAGCTGCTGGTCTTGTGGAACTACACTAGGGCTGGCTCAGCAAGCCTTTGGAAATCACAGGCAGAACAAGAGCCTCACCCAGTTGCCCTGGAGGCATGGGGAAGTGGGAAGCTCACCGCGGTGCTTCAGAGCTGGTTTGTCCTAAAATGCTTGCACTTCTCACTGCAGAGTTCAGCCAGGGGTTTTCCTTCTCTCCAACCTTTGCTTTTTCCTATGACTTGTGGTGTGCAAGAAAACAACCTTATAGATAAAGCCACACCTTTAGCAGTGCAGGTACTCTGCAATTAGATGAACTCTTAATGCATTTTAAAGGGAAAATCAGACAGTGAACGTACTGAGGCACTGCAGGGCCGCCTGTCTGGGAGTGGGGCATGCTTGTTCCATCTCTTCCAGGGTAGAAAGTCAGAAGGGCAACAAGATCCTCTAATTCCCTTTCCCACCAGTGGGGAAGCAGCTGAGAGCTGGGTCCCTACAATTGCACACATCCAATCTACCCTATACATTTGCAGGTAGCAGAACAAGACTGCTCCTGCACACAGAGGGACTGGCTTTGCCTGGCTCTGGGAAGCTGTGACCTTCTGTTCAAGAGGCCTGTGGCAGGAGGAAATCAGCAAGACAAGCTGTCATCACTGCTCCTTTTCCTGCAAAAAGCAGGACAATAAGGAAATTCAGGGAAGATACACCATGAGTGCTCCAGTTCCATAGCAGAGAGAGGGAATTTTTTTTTTTTAATGGGCTCCCTAAATCTCTGTAAATGCTGATACAGCTGAGACACAGAACAAAAGGAGGTGCTTCTTCTGGACAAGCTTTCTGAAGGAGCCAGGTGATTAGGAACGCATACTCAGAAGCAGACACAGAAATCCAACAGGAATCATGGTATCCAAACTCCAGGGTGTCCAGATACCAGTATCAGTTGAAGATGGGACATCCAAGAACTAAATGCTAAATGCTTATGTGTCCAAAGAGGCAGCAGGATCTCAAATTTTGACCAAGTCTCTGTCTTGCTTGTGGTAGGACTGTTTTCTAATTTTTAAAGCTCTACACAAATATCACTAACTGTGACTTGCTAATATCTACTATAAGCTACACCTACCTAGCAAAAGAGAGCTGACATTCTTTCCTTCGCTTTTTGTTTCAGGAGATACATGAAGTCTAATGGGTAAGATGAAATTCAAGGAAAAAAAAAATCCCTGCTACAGGCTTTTTGCACAATTTTTGGAAGTGACATTGACATTCAGCTTCATATATAGAGCTTCTAGAAACTCAACTCCAGGCTGTTTTTGATGGGGAATGCAGGGGAAGGGTACCATTACCATATCCAGAGATTTCTCAAGTGTGCTTATATTTCCATCTCCACTGCCAAAAATACACTTTTCAATCAAGCTAAGTAAAAGGTTAGACTTTTTAAAAACAACCATTCACATAACACACAAACCAGGGAAACAAAAGAGAAGCCTATGTCCTGAGAAGGCAAGTTTCAGTAAGGTAAAAGGGGCCAAGAGTCCTGGCACACACTGCAGCATTTCCCTCCCCTGGCACAGGGTTTGGCTCTCAGAGCAGAGCAGCAAGGCACCAGAGAGAGACAGACTGTAAACCAGTGAGCAGTGTTTGCACAGAAAGCAGAAGCAGCTGTTGTGCAGACAAACTAATCAAAGTCAGCATCTTGCACAAGGGCAAGCATTAGCTCAACTGTAACTCCACACAGTGTGGATTCCAAAAGGTTTATTCCAGCTTGTGACAAATGACCTCCTCTGCCATCAGAATAAATTATACAACTGGAAAACAGTTTTCAGAATAAACTGTACAGCTGAGGCTAGTTTTTGGAGTTTGCAACAGCTGGCACACAGCATTTCCACCTGCTGCTAGGCACTGCTGCAGTTCCCGTGGGTTCAGTCATCTTACTCATGATACATACAACCTGTGTGAGAGACTGTGCTGCAGTGCAGAGCCTGCTTGTGCAAATCTGTGTTGGGCATGCTATGGTCTGTCTTCTGCCTGTATTTTTCTAGGAATTAATACAGATACTCATGAGTAAGCAGACTGATCTAAACAGCAGTAGATGCTGACATACTCAGACACTTAAGGAGGCCTGGGAGGCTCCAGAGGCTTCCTACTCCTTCCTTTCAGGAAATGCTTCCTTACCAGGCTCTCTCTCAGATCCCAGACTTGCAGACCTGTCTTAATACCTGCAGCATGTTTGAGGCAACACTGGGTCCACAATAGTAGTAATAAAAATTAAAAAAAAAACAAACAAAAAAAACCAAAAAAACAAACAAAAAAAAAACAACAACAAAAAAAAAAAAAAAAAAAAAAAAAACAAACAAACAAACAAAAAAACAAACAAACAAAAAAAAAACAAAAAAGAAAACAAAAAAACCCCAAAAGACAAAACCAAACACAAAACAAAAAAAAAAAAACAAAAACCCAAACCAAAAAAAAAAAAAAAAAACCAAAAAAACAAACAAACAAACAACAACAACAAAAAAAAAAAAACACAAAAAAAACCACCAAAAACCAACCAGAGCAGTCATTAGGCATTATTCACTGCAGGAGTACAGGGGGGAATTTGAAATTGGCAAGTCAGTCCCATTACTGTAAGGATTCATTCAGTCTGTCATCTATTGGAACACATGGCTGTGTATGCCTGGCAAGTGCTTTAAAGTTGTTATTTTGATCTTTGCTAAGATAAAACTTTTTGTAATATTTTGTAGGCATTTGAGAACGGCAGTTACTGGACTAGTTAAAAACCACTTCACCACTTGGAATTGATGCCATCTGTTTCCTATTCTTATTCATAGAAATCAATACTTATTTTTTTGAGGACTTCTCTAACAAACTCTCTATATGAAATATGAGTAATGCTCTAGCCAAGACAGCTGAACTTCTGCTTGACAGGTTCACTGACGGGGCTGTTCAATTGATATAGGTCTACTCAGACAAGAAGAAGCAAGGAGAAGGACAGAACAAAGGCCATGTCCTTTAACTCATCCCTGAGATCAGCTCTTCAGAAAGAATAATACTGTCTTGGTTAGATTTCAGGTTTGTCTATTACAGGAAATGGCACATGAGGTTCTTGCAACCAAAATCAAACCTGCAGTTTACTGAGCACCAGTCATGTTAGCCATTCTGGAAGATGCACCCAGGCTTACATTTTACTAAGGAAACTAATAAAAAAAAAATAAAATTCATATTCACTTAAGGATTGTGAAGCATTTGTATAAGCCATTATTTCGTCCTCAACTAACTGTAATTTATCTTTACTTAAACAGTATTGTTATTAAAAACCTTTCAAGTAAATAGAAAGATTACTTTCTTAAAACAAATCCAAACAAACCCTCCACCACACATATGCAGGTCATCTATAAAAGGCACAAAAGTATCTCTCCTTAATGCTATTGTGAATTGAGGGCAATCACAAGTTGCACATAGCTGTAGGATATCAAACTGGATCATGAAGTTCAGCTACAACAAGAGAAACTCACAATCTTCCCTGTGAACTTCACTCAGAAGGCAGAAGTACTTACAGACAGGAAAAGTTTGTGTCACTGTGAGCTTAGCCGGCTGTCCACCCCAGGGCATTTCCATCAGGTCTTTGTGTCCCAGGTTTCTACTCACCATCAGGAGCATCCCACCCTGCAAGCCACGGATGGCTCAGGCCGGGCCATGCTGAGCTGCGATGTTCCAGACTGCAATCAAAAGCAAAAGTAAAGCCTGCAAGCTGGGAGAGGGAGACCAGCTGCACTTGGTGTGATGTGTGAGTGGTGAAAGTGATAGCAAAGTGTCAGGAGAAAATTGCTCAACCACATCGGTGCTCACCAGAGGGCTGGTGTGGGAAAATTAGACAGCTGAACCTTGATTACGCAAAAGACACCTATGGTCTGACTTCTAGCAGCCCTGGAAAGTGCAGTGCATGCCAAGGACATACAGATGGGAAAAACTGAAACTTGGTATGCTAAGTCATTTGGCAAATGCATGAACTGTACACAGTGCTACCAGGGAGAGCCTGAAATCAAACACAGCGAATGTCCCATGTCCTTAGCCAACAGGAGGGACTGGAAGGTGCCTAATTGAAGGCTAATAACCAAACGAGGAAGACAATCTGGGATTAAACAGAGGCTTTTACCAACAGAAGTAGGGCTGGCATCTCCTCTGGTTAACAGCTGCTTGCTTGTGTGCAGAGGGACTGATCAACCTGCAGGCAGCTCTGGAAAGAGCTGACCAATACGAAACTGCCACTGAGCTCCAGAAGCCGTTCACACCACAGACTGCAGCTCGCGTGACTGAGAAGTGTGGGGGAAGTTGAGGAGGAGCAAGGGCTTCCCGCTCTGGTTTGGAAACAGGGCACCAATGAGGTCATTTTCCATTCCCTCACAAGTGCCATGAGCCCTGTCCAGGAGGTACCTGTGCCATCGTGAGAGGGGCTGCAGGCAGAATGAGGCAGCCTGCCTGCAAGCAGCTGGAGGAACACTGCTGGAATGCTGCCCTTCTCATACGAATGCAGCTGATAAGAGAGCAATAAGCTCCACTGTCTCACAGGTCTGAGGAGAGTGGTAGGAATGGTACAGCATTTCCTGACATTTCTGCAAGCTTCCCTTATCGTCCTCAACATCTGGATTGCACTGTCCAGCACTTCCTACACCACACTGCAAATCACCTTTCATCTAACCAGGCTGTGTTCAGTGAGTGAAGTGAAATACTTTTCTCACTAAATCAGAACCAGCTATAGTAGCAGGTTCTTGTAAGGCATGGTGCACTGCTGCAGTACCTCAACATTGCATGAGAAGGAGGTTATTTCCAAATTTGAAATAGCCCTGCACTGTTATTGAATATTATTTCTAATACTGAAATAGTACCTGCCCAGGGAAGGCAGCCCACCTTCCATGTTGCTGTCTCTGAGAGCTGGAGCAGGGTCCAGGCATAGATTCCCCATACATCTGTGCTAACAAAGACATGTGAAAGCATTAGCTTCCTTCACAAACTGTACATCCAGTCAAAATTAAAACCAAATGGCTCCTAGAAAATGGAGCATTTTTCCAGAGTGGTTGGAGAAGAGGTCTAGCACAGCCTGTCAGCCCACGGGTGCAGCAGTCATAACCCAGAGCACGGCAGGGACAGTCATGGGTATGATCTGTTGCCTTCTCAAAATCCCTGCACAAGAGCTGAATTTACTGAAGAGGATGGGGCCTTTTTGGTCACTCATGAGGGTGACATTGTCCTTCCAAGAGACACATACACTTGTGCTCAGTTGCAAGCCAAGTCTGGCTGCTGGCAATTTAGCTTACAGTGACTAAATCACCAGTTCATGCTAGATGAGAAGCTAGTCCACAACAGCCAGAGAAGTTCATCTGGCACTAGTTTGTACACTGGGCAGGTCCTGCATTCCAAGCCAGCATGGTCCCTGTGTGTGCAGGTTGCTGGCAGCCTCCAAGCAATAAAATCTGCAGAGAGGTGCAGGGGGCCATGTGGAAACACCCAGGCCTCCACCACCTCTAAACAAGGCTGCTACAAACCCAGAGAGCCCAAGGAGTAATGTCCACATACAACCAGGGGAAAAATCCTTCAGAGCAACCCCAGGGGTAGAAGAGGTTTAGGGATTGTGCTGCTGTTATTGCTGAAGAACTCCGTAGGAAATGAAGCAGAGCAGAAAAAGTGAGCTGTACAGTGTGTGGCCCACAGTTCCAAAGGAGGTGTTTTTGTCAAGCTGGCACAGACAGATTTTGCAGGGAAACCCACTCGAGAGATGGAGGGAGGAACAGCAAGATTCAGTTTGCAGCAGGCCAGGAGTGCCCATGTCCATGCATTAGTAATGAGCTGCACAGGTGGGTGCAAACCCCCAGGACCTCAGCTGCAAGACCACCTTGTAGGTCTGGGATAACAAATCCTCTCCCCTACTCTGTTCTGTCACTTGCTCACAATGGGGCAGAGCAGAGCTCACCCACTGTCTTCTACTCCTCCACACCCTCAGCTTGCAGAGGAAGCATCACTGGGATTTGGCCAGCAAAGCCTCTTCCTGCGCAGGACTGGACAACTGCCCGAAGCAACACCAGGGACCTCCTTCTCCTGCTGGGACACCAACCTCTGCCAGAAAGGCAGGGCGAGTGTTGCATTGCATAGGGACACAGTAGGGCCAGGCAGCACAGCAGTCCTGGGGAGACAGTGAGCCTTCACTCCACCCGAGCGTGATGCAGAAGAGGATGTGATAAGCCCTGCCCTTTTCTCCATAGAAGTGGTCAGAGAGACTGAACAACAGGACGGGGCAATCAAAGGCAGAAGCAAAACACACCCGTGGTGACAGGGAAGTGCCACTGTGCACTTTTTCCAGTAACTGCTGAAAGCAAACCAAGTATGTGAAAAGGGCAAAAGCAGATGGAGGTGACTCAGTGACTAAGAAAAATAAACAATGGGTGTTTCACAAGAATGAGAGGGAGGAAAACAAATGCCAGAAAGCAACACCCAACCTACCACTGTAAATATCAGCCAGGAGCTCACCTGGTAGGACGGCTCTGCAGGAACCTGTGGTGCTGTGAAGGCCATGACTTCCCAGGAGTTACCAAGGCTTCTCCAGAGGCAGAAAGAAGTTGGATGGTGGAGCTGCAGGCACTGCCAGCTCTAGTGTAGGTGGTGGAAACCTCCCTTGCTTCCTCCCCTTCCGCTCTCTTCAGAAGATTAAGCTAACAGCTCTCCCGTGAGCTCATCTGCCCCGGGGCAATCAGGTCTCTCACCTGCCCTCAGAGGCCTAGGCTCCTTCTGCCAGTGCTGCTCACTGCTCCTCCGAGCAGCTGGAACAGTCCTGCACGCCCAGATCCAGCTGCAGGAGCTGTAGGACAGGTCTGCCAATTGCCACCGTGCCTGTGACAAGATAAGCAAGCAACGACGGTGCTCCCCATCTGGGCCTGCCTTGGGGACAGCCCTGTCCCCAAGCTCTGAGCCCGCAGGCGGTACTGGCAGCCCGGCCTCGCCCATCTGCTGCTCCCATGGAGTTCAAACCAGGCTCCCAGGCCGGAGCAGCCACGCTGCTGGGCTCTCCAAATCCCTCCCTGCAGGAGCAAGCTCAGCACCGCACCAGCCCCACCTAGCAACAGACAGGGTCCCAGCACAGCGCTGCCCTTCTCCTACAGGGAAGCTGCACTGGATGCTCCCCTTCCCGCAGCTCTGCAGCACAACGCTGCGAGGGGCTTGCGGCAAGGTGGGGAAGGAAAACAGACTGCCATAGATTCTGGCTTGGTCCAAGTGCTGCCTCTCAGTACCGACAGACCTCCAGGAAATGTGCCAGAAATATTCTCTGGCTCCATAATGGAAATAGTGGCCCAAGCAGGCAGACTTGGCCAATATAGCCTGTGAAAATCAAGGACAGTGATAATGTGGTATCCCTAGTTCCCAATACACATATAAGAAGCCACAAACCTGCTGGCAGCAGAAGCAGGGGTAGCTGTCACTTCTTCCCAGTTTTCTTGGGAAAACAGTGAATGCCCAGAGACTATATCATACTCACATGGTGACAGAAGTCAATGCTGAATATTTGGAACTGCACCCATGGGGATTTTTCCCCCACTCCATCATCAGCCCTATTAGTGAACTGTGCAAGCTACTGCATTTTTATACTGGTATTTTTGGTATTCCCTTTCCAATTTTAAGCATTTCTTTGGCTAACTAAGAACAACTTCTGCTGAAGGCTCTTAAAACGGTACCAGTTTCAGAGAGACCAATGAGGCTCCTCATGCTGCTATAGGCACAAGGCAAGAAGTTAGAAATTTGCTCATGACAATGAGATGTCTTCAGAGCAGCCTCACCAGTTCACTCCAGCAGAACTGTAATCACTTTGGTACAAAGCAATTATTTATTTCATCTTTCCCTTTACTGTAGGATGAATGATTTTTAACTGAGCCCAAACCCACTTGCATTCAAGTGGATTGCTAATTAAGCTACAGATGTCTCCTGATGGCAGCAATTATTTCTAGTAACCTTAATGAGATTGTTACATTCCTTAGTTATTGTTATGAAAAGTTATATGAAAAACTTTGCCTAATACTACACAGCTCCTGGGGGAATAACTTCTTGATCTGTTCTGGTTTGATTAAAGGGAATGATTGTTTCCTTTCTTAGCAATATTTCTCAAGCTCTTTCTGGCTCCTTCCCCTTGTCTTTTGCTGGCACTTTTAACAAGTCTGATCAAATGTTTCACACAGGTCTTTGCCAAACATTTCTATCTGGTTTTGCTCTCCGTGAATCTCCAGTGCCTTTGCTTGGTTTACTGCGTAATTTTTCCTTTCTTTTCCAGTTACTGACTCTGTTTGGAACATACACTTTACTTACAACAGGGACTCAGTGCCTATCAGAACTCCGTGGGGTTTTGAGGTGGTCATTACAGTTTGTTGCAGATATAAGAAATCCATGTCCTTACACTGGAACTTGAGGAAAAGCCTCCCTTCAGTGCACAGAAAATAAGGATATCCTTGAAACATTGAATGGAATTAACAGAATAAACTAAGACAACTAAGCACATCTTTTCATGTCCTCTCCTCTCTCCTGTGCCTTTTTATCCAAAATCCATG